GCTTCCTCCGAAGGGTGGCTGGCCTCTCCCTTAGAGATAGGGAGAGGAGTTCAGCCATCTGGAAAGGCCATTGAAAGGAGTCATTTGAGGTGGTTTGGGCATCTGACAAGTATGCCTCCTGGGCAAGGTGTTCTGGGCATGTCTCATCGGGAGGTGGCCCCAGGGCAGACCCAGGACACGCTGGAGAGATTATATCTCTCAGCTGTCCTGGGAATGCCTCGGTGTTCCCCCGGACAAGCTGGAGGAGGTGGCTGGGGAGAAGCAGGTCTGGGCTTCTCTGCTTGGGCTTCTGCCCCCACGATCCGGCCCTGGATAAGCGGAAGAAAATGGATGGATGGATCGATGGTGTTATTTTCTCTCTCTTTCCTATATTAAATATCTTGAATTGTATTAAAGCCAACAGCAGCTGTTTTACTCCCAGTACACTGTATATTTTTAAAATAGCTAGTCTATAGTCAACTTTAAATGCTCTACAATTTGAACAAATGGGATTTGTAGTTTTAAAGATGTAGTGAATTCCCATCATTTAAACATAGACAGAAAAACCCGGAGCCTGGATTTTAGTCACTTTACAAAGTTTAGCAACCGTGCTATACAACACTGCCAGCTACATATTTCCTCCCTCTATACAGGGATAGTACCTGCCTGCAGCACTACTCTGTGTTAAGATTTACTTTTTTTGTGTTGGAAGAGGCTTTCTCCCCTGCCACATTTCTCACAACTAGCATCTTGGCAGTTTGTGGAGCTGAAATATCTTCACACATGACTTGCTTAAGATCATCACCTGAGTGAACAAGCACACGTCAGCTGTGAAGCATTTTTACAGCTGTATTTCACACATTACTGTGACAGGTGGAAGAAGTAGTTTCTACTAATCATTTAGATAATCCCAACAATGCAGTTACTTTCACTGTGTTCCTGTTAATAATAAACAAAAAAAATCCCCAAATTACTAAAATGTTGATATTTTAATAAATTCTAGAACAGAAATAATATATATCAATAAATAACAATCAACACACCACACCCAGCAGCCTGGACACCCTGATTCAGGTGAACCAACCCAAGGCTACATACCGAGAGAAACGACAAAAGAACCAAATTCTCAAAAATCCAAACAAAGAAATATTAGCACACATGTGATTCTGCACATGGGTCCATCCTACCAACCAACCTCAGATCTCCACGCATGCTCACATCAATGCACATACATTTGCAGACATACAGATTTTAATGTTCTGTTTTTAGAGTTTAACTAGAGTGTTTAATGTGGGTTCATAGATCAAAACATTTTAAGCTCCTTAAGTGTTTAAAGGCTATATCAAAAGTTCATTCAAGTTACAATATTGTGGTCAAAAGTTCTCCTTTTTTCTTTTATACTATACAACTACGT